TTATACAAATCAAATTAATAACTGGTATTAATCGTTAGAAGGCAAATATAACTCACATGCCAGGATATTACCCTTCAAATTAAATATCACAACAGTGACAAAAATGTGACAACACTTGAAAGTTTTTTTCCAGCAAATGGCTATAAAGAGGATATTCATGTAAATGGTGATGTCATGTAAAAATTTAACAAATAGATAAATTATTTATTTTGATTCTAAATAATGTGTTGTTAAATAATAAAAACAGATTACAGTATTTTGCTAATTTTGTTAAATGATCACTGTAGCGGAGAGGTAGTATAATCCACAGGGTCTCCGCTGGTAGACAGGTACAGCATGCAATAATCCAGGTAGCGTAATAATAATCCCTTCTTCCCAAGAACTAGAAGACACATAGGCTGGGAGTCAACTGAGCTTTTATTCACAGGTCACAGCATTTATGCAGTTCCCCATGCAAGGGGTTTCTGGAGTGACTTTACAGGGGTTGTACAGTAGGGGACTACATGGGGAACTGAGCATACAGGAAAATTTTCCCACCATGCACTGCTGTATGAGAGGGATACTCCCATAAGAATATCCTGTTAAATGGATTATCCCTCTGTACAGCAGAACCTGTCTTTTCACTTAAAAATACTTAACTTGCACCAAATGACCTCTGTATAGATAGCTGGGATCTGAACACATACTTCGGGAAACTACCGCTCAGATCCCAGCACAATTAGCCGAATGCCACTCGAAACTTTGTTTAATATGAACACACAGGAAAACATACGAATGGACGGTTTGTATGAAAATACGGAAGGACCGGTGGTCCCGAACGGTCTGGAAGTCCAGTGGTGTTCGCACCGTCGAGTAGCCGATTTTAGTTCCAGGCACACGATGACCAAACACTGCTGGGCTAAAAGGGGATCCAAGATGGCCGCCGCCGCGTGGTCGGTATCCGAATGGCAGCCACCCTGAGAATCGATTAACGGAGGGTAGATACACATGACCCCCTGTGTGTGGTCTCCCATTCAGTACTTGGTTCGTTTCACGAACTACCATAGGAATGCTAGCGGCTTTCGCGCCGTTAGCATACGAATGCTCTCTATTGCATATTTAACCGAAGAACATAAAATAAGCCATATATCTGCAGTCTTTCCAGGGCAACCCTTATACATTACAATAGTCTTAAGTGGCTAGGTTTGCCACAATCGCTTAAGACCAATTAGTGATGTTGGACTCCGATCCTTCTCCTTCTCCTTCTAAATTTAAACGTCTGTATCCACCATATATTTCTTGTGGAACTACTTCCACTTCCTTTACTGTCTTTTTGGGGGAAATTATATTCCTTTTGTGATCTCCTGTCTCATTTCTGTACATTTTATCCCCTCTTTATTCCCTATTTTTTCTGTTTCACCTCCATGACAGCAGAAACAAACATTAAATAAACCCTTTAGACCCCGAAAGTACTTCAGCTCAATCTGTCTTCTTATTTTATCATTTCACAGAAATGCACGACTGCTAAAGAAATTTACACTTTTATGATTTAGTCTTGTTACACCCACCCTAGCTGTCAATCAGACAACCACTCCTGTTACTTCCTGGTTTGGTTAGCTCAGTGAAACTAAACTAAAGAGGCCCAGAGGACCTGCCTTACAAAGACTTCTTGTTAAGCTGCATTGGTAAGTCTGTGATTGATAGTAAGTCCAGCTACACTCTAGGTGGAGTTAGAAGCAGAGGGGTTAAAACAATTTCAAACAAGATATATTTTAGATATAACTCCAATGAAAAAAAAAATGCACAATTAAATGCATCAAGTTTTCATTTGAGTTTCTTCCAACTAAACTGTATTTTTTTTTTTTTTTTTGTATTTGGACAGTGGAGAGATACTTTAAGTTTACTACTAACATGGGCCTTGAGTCAGAATAGAATGTTGCCAACTAACCATCTAACCATGTAGACGGAGTTCTTTTTGTTTGCAAGTGATGCTGACCAGAGACAAGAAATAACAGTGAAAAAAAATAAAGAGACATGGAAATACCTTGGTGCACTTAGCTGGGACAGAAGGAGTACATATCTCCAAACATCACTGTTACGGTACCTCCAGTAATGAAATGTACAAACCGCCGTTTAGCGAGTATTCCCCATTCGCAATAATGTGGTCGGGTAGCGGGTATAGTAAAACCATGCGAACCGCCAGCCAGGGAACACTCCAAACTCCCGAACGGTACCTGTACGGCTAATTCCCTTCACGAGCTGCAAATCCACGAACGGCAAATAGTAACCGAACGACCATATCTCCCAAGCGGCAAATAATCCAAATAAGCAGTCTCTAGTCGCTGGTAACCAAATACCCCCAATAACGAGACCAAGCTCCGCTTTGAGGGTAAAACACGAACTGATTTACTGTGGGCTACCTGCCCGGTATTTATGCAGGTCTCCCACTTGGTGGACACTCCCCTAGGGGACCAAATGGGAGACTGAAAGTACAGAGGGACATGGGGACATTTTGGACATACATCCCCACAATATTCCCAGCATGCAGTACAGTTCCCTCCCCTCTGCTCGGGGGATAATTGGGAAGTAACTCAATTATCTCCCCGGGCAGAGGCAATCGCCATTTTAAACACAAGTCACAAAAATACATGAAAATCCATAACTTCATAACTGCCGAACATATTACATTCGTATCACGTATCCCCAGATAGCCTGGATCTGAGTGCACATTATTGGAGAATAGCGCTCAGATCCCATTCGCATAGTTCAATCGCCATGGAGTCAAAGTCTCTTTCAGTTCTTCGGTATGCGATTGACTCCATGGGACGGCTATCTGGGTTAAGTCCATTCGTGTGGTTGAATCTCCCGAACGGCTGGCATTCGTATACTTTTGTCGATTGAGAAGGGGAGGTCGACGGCTTCAGCGGTGTTCGGCTGAAAAAGTGTCCGTTTTCAGATCCATGAAATAATCGTCGAACACCGCTGGTCGTTCGCATGGACAAGATGGCCGCCGCCTCGTGGTCGACATACGAACGACGACCACCCGGCATTCGGTTTTAATTGAGAAGTGTCTGTGGTTAACCGCAACGTTCTAATTGGGATCAATAGGTTAACCAGCAGCACACTTCTCCTCCTGGGTGGCCGTCCGTTCGGTAGTTCCGTTCGACAAAACCGACATTCCCTTGAATAAAGCATACGAATGGGGAAATTCATGTAACCGGCAAAACAGGCGAACAAAGCAGTTGTAATCCAGACAGATGGGTCTGTCACAATCACATTAGACCAGGGTATTCAAAACACTGGCCCCTCCAGATGTTTCTGTACTACAACCCCCATGATTCTTTAAATGAAATAGATACCCAGAGAATCATGGGAGTTGTAGTTCAAAAACACTTGGGGGGCCAGAATTTAGAGAACCCTGCATTAGACCATGGAAAGATAGGATTACAGCGGATGTACATTCGCAAACCATAACGAAACATACGGTTTTCCCAACATCTATAGCAGGGGAGGGCTGGCAGCCTTAGGCCTGGGGGGCAAAATCAGTCAAGTTGCCCATTGCACCACCAAATCAGTGCAATGGTGCCCACCTTTTCCTGGTTTTATAACAGATATTGATGTTATGCTAATCACTAGCTCTTTGCCATACCCGCTCCTTCACGGCTCTGACTTTCAATGTTGTCAAAGCGCAGGCTGAGAATCTCTGAGCGTGTGCTCTGACTCACTAACTGAGCGCCGGAACCACGAGGGAGAGGCTATAATCTGACTGCACCTACTGCTGGTGCGCACCAGTGGACCACCAGCGAATCGTTTAAATTGAATAGGCTGGTGTCCCCAACTTGTGAGCTGTGTTGTCCGCCGGGCGCCTCTGTTGTGATGGCACCCTGTGTGACCGCACAGCGTGCACACCCCAATGGCTGGCCCTGCTGACACACACTGATGTTACTACTTAGAAATCCCTCAATATTAATACAGACATCAGAGTAAACACCAATAAACTGTGGAAACAGAGCTGATCCCCTCAAATTTATAAAGATTTGCTTACTGGATTTGTTGTAAGATTAAATCATGCCTCCTCCTCTCTCTCTCCCATGCGCTGCTCTGTAAGCTGGGAGGAAGTGAAGAGTAATCACAATCTCCCAGCACAGTGGCACCTGTGGCTGCATGGGGAACAGCTGTATTTGCCGCCCCCCATGTGACATCACAATGCCCCACCTATATGAGCTGCCATACGAACTAACGCCAGTGCTGCCCACAGTGTGTGTTTACATTAAAAAGCCTGCAGGGACCGGCTATAGACACCAGAACCACTTCATTAAGCTCCAGTCGTTCTGGGGACTATAGTGTCCCTTTAATGTGAGGTAAATTATAGATTAGTGTCACTAATAATATACTAGATTGCCTACTTACAACCAAATGAGGATGATGATGGGCTGCAGTTTGGCTCCACTGGTCTGGTGTAGAACAGGATCTCTGGAGGCTGTTTGCAACTGTGATCACAAAATTCAATGTTCTGGGAGAATTGGAAGCAGCTCCATTTTTTGGGGGCCCCTTACACAGCTCAAGGTCTGGGCCCCAGGGCCTGACGGTGAGTATGCCCACAAGGCCCACTCATAAGTCCACTTATATGTTCCACCCACCCATGAGTTCGCTCACAGGGAGTGGAGTGTGTAGGGGATGTGTTATGTGTTATTGTAGAGGATCTAATATGTGTGCTTATGGTATGTAGTGTATGGGGATACCAGTTTGTGTAGGTGATGCAGTGTGTTTGTGTGTAGTGGAAGCAGTGTGTATTTGTGTATAAGGGATGTATTGTGTGTTTCTGGTTGTGTGTAAGGGATGCA